GTTTTGCCTGTCATGTTCCGCCATCTCATCAATAGCTGTTTGTACGGTGCGGGCATTGTAGCCTCCTTTACACAAGTGTGACTTAAGAAGACCACTTTGCTCCTGATATAAGACAGGGGACAAACAGATGCGTCGAATTCTGGTGGCTAGACCCTTAGGCACTCCCTTGAAAGTGTGTGGGGGATGACAGCTAGTGGGCATAAGATATAGGTGGGAGTCTGTGGGTTTGGTGTGGAGACTGAATTCGATTTCACCATCAATCAGGGTAGATGTAGTATCTAGGAATACGTTTTCGAATTAGATATATCTACTGTAAATTTGATCGACTGATGAAAGGTGTTGGCAAACGTAATGAATGCCTCGAGGCTCTCGCGACATTCCACCCACTTCATCTCTATATCGTCAATGAAACGCAACCAGCTATGGGGCCTAAATGGTGCTTGAAGTAACAAGTTGCGTTCCAGTCTGCCCATGAAGACATTGGCATAAGACGGTGCCATTTTCGTACCCATAGCAGTGCCATTAACCTGCAGGTAATGTTCTCCATTAAACATGAAGTTGTTGAACTTGAGAACATGTTCAAGGAGCTTAGCAAGGGACTCGGTAGAAGGAATTTGTATGGATCTACTATCCCAGACTTCTCTACAGGCTTCGATACCCTCATTGTGCGGAATATTGGTGTACAAAGATGTGACGTCCATAGTCACGAGGAGGGTATGATCTGGGAGGCCAGTAGAGGGCGTCTTGTTAATGTAGTCCGTGGTGTCCTTGAGATAGGATGGCAAATTCTCTACGTGTGGACGGAGACGTAAATCAATGAATTCAGAAATTTTCTCCGTGGGGTGTCCAATTGCACTGACTATGGGGCGACCTGGCATGCCTTCTTTGTGTATTTTAGGAAGCAGATAGAATTGTCCTGGTCTACAGTCAATAGGATTTAAGGTCTCATAGACGTTGAAACCAATCTCATTTTTCTCAAACATATCGTCAAGAGTTTTGGTAATGGCGGTGGAGAATTCTTTAGTAGGGTCAGAGTCCAGTTTCTTATAGAAACGTTCGTCTGAGAGTTGTCTTTGGGCCTCCGCCATGTAAGTCTCTTTATCCATTACTACAACTGTAGAACCTTTGTCTGCTTTCTTGATTACAATGTCATCCCGATTTTTTAATGATTGTAAGGCAGATCTCTCTTCCTTACTCAAATTGTCGGGAGTCTTGTCTGGCATTGAAAGGAGCTTCTCTATGTCTGACTCAACGGCGTCAATATACGACTCTAGCGCGCCGCACTTGCCCGGTGCAGGTTCCCAGTCACTCTTGGGCTTATAGACTTTGTGTTCCTCTAGATCGTGTAAATCTGGCTTGGAAGAGTCGTATGAATTTACTTCGGAGTCTTTTCTAGAGAAGTGCTCCTTCAAACGAAGTCTCCGGAAGAATGCTCGGGTGTCCTCTCTGACTTGTTTTTCGTCGACCTCATGTGGCGTGGGGCAGAAATTTAGCCCCTTGGAAAGAAGTGAGGTCTCCGATTCGGAGAGAGGAGCACTAGATGTATTGAGCACTGGGCAGACGTCAGGAGTTTGTATGGGTCCGTCCCTCGCGATTGTCTTAATGCGTTTGAAGCGTCTCGAGCGGGGTTTGCGTGTTTTGTTAACTCTGACCTCTGACCAGTTGTTCCTAGACTGTGGAACACTGTCGCGGAGAAATTTCTTTTTTTGAGTCTTGTTGACTTTATTTGTTAGGGCCATATTATAGATGTCTATAATATTATGGGCTTCATCAAGATCGGCCTGGGACATGATATCGTTGAGGGATGATTCTAAGGACTTAAACTCACTCTTCAATTGTCCTAACTTGTGGATACCTGGTATCCCAAGAAAGACAGAGTGACATCAATTGTTTAGAACATCTCCTTGTAATAACGCCCCAGCGTTCCTGAAAGCGTTTGGAGATTGGCCCTATGTTAGGTGTAACATTTATCTGAAAGCCTTTTAGTATAATGTCACACTCTAAGTAGGTCTGTAAATTGGAGACCCGGTGTTCAGTTTTTATTGATTTTTGGTGTTCTTTCTTTAGAAGTTTAAATGTTGGGTTATCTTTGATAGACATATTTGAAAAGAAAATACAATTGCCAAAGTGATAAGACTACTTTTAAGTTTTTAGTCGTATGAAGTCGAAAGATTCAACGAACGATTGTTCTGTATTCTAACGGATTTCGTAGATAACTCGTGCACGAATTCAAAAATATTAAAAACAAACTATACGTGAGTAAAAATCGAAAGGGAAAAGCGGAAAAAACTTATTTGCAAAGGTTGGAAACAAAATAAATAGTAAAAAAAGTCAAATGATGAAAGAAAACCAAAAATAAATGATAAGAACAGAAAATATAAATAAAGAAATGATGAATATACGGATGGATCTGTGAAGATACAGTTGGCGAAAAAGGATATAAAAAGCACTCAAAAAAACCAACAACACTGTATATCCTAAATGTCGGATCTACCAAGTAGATACAAGGTCACGGGTGGAAATTTATATAAAGCAGTAAAAATGACCAACGACACGAACAATAAAAATTGTCAAATTTTCGGGACGCCCTGTCCCTTCCTCAGGACAAAGAAAAAAGTTAAAAAGTCATAAGAACAAAGGAAAAAGAGAAACAAAAACAACTAGCACTACTACTAAACTACTAAACACTAGATATTTACATACTTAATTACATGCTGAATTGGAAATTTTTAAGAACACTAAGAAAGAATAGAAATCCGGACCACTATGAAATGCGTCCGGTCTATCGGGTATACTTGGGTGAAGTGCGATTTACATAATTGAACGAATTAATTATGCTAATTAATTACGACAATCAGCAAATCGTACATTGTTTCATTCTCTCAAAATGGCGTAACTTTACTTAATAAAGAATAATGAAAGAAAAATCATATAGTAGGGATATTTAAACATATGAATTATGATCAATTATAAATTTTGAAATATTTAAGGACTTATTATTGGGGGAAAATAATTAACAAAGGCGTTAGCAATACATAGTTATGTGGTTTGTTCGAGAGTTGGTTACGCAAATTAACTGTAGAGTTTACACTAAATTGAGAGAATAATCTTGTTTAGTATGATCAGGAGTTGGGTCTAGTTTACGTTCATTCTGGTGAAGTCATTCAATTTGTTAATACCATTAGGGCGGAATGACTTCAATCTGTGCATCCAGAACTTTTCTTTGCTTTTCCTCTGAGCATCTGTCCATCTTGGGTTATGGTCAATCACCACTACTGTCATGTCCTCCCATTTGTGACCCTCAAGGTTGAAATGTTCCCCAACGGGTTCATTGAGTTTTTTGGTCCTAATGGTCGAACGGTGGTTATTGACTCTCCTGCGGAGATCTCCTGTTTCACCAATATACTGTTTGGAGCAAACTTTGCAACTGATGAGATAAATGCAGTTGTCAGTATGACAGGACAAATTCCCTAGTATTTTGTAGCTAAGGCCTGTAACAGGGCTGTTGAAACTGTCTGTGTCAGTGCTGTGCTTACAAAGAAGACATCTCCTGTCAGAGCAAGTTTTAAAGCCCCCGTTAGGTAATGGGTTGTCCAGTCTGGTTCTTACTACCATGTCCTTTAGGTTCCTTGGGCGTCTGTATGCAGCCAATGGGGGTTCCTTAAAGACCTCTGCCATCCGTTTGTTTGAATGGAGAATTGGTAGGTTCTTTTGAAGGATACCGCTAAGGTTCTTAAGGACGGGATGGTATGTGGTTACCAGAGGGACCCTGTCGCTATTGTCTTTTTCCTTGTAGCGTAATAGGTTTTGCCTGTATATATATATATATATGTAGGACTCCAAAGTGCGATGGGACTCCAAAGTCCGATGGTCATGCCAAAGTCCGATGGTCTGCGCCAAACACAGATGGTCTGACACGTGAAAGTCTGATGGTGCAGAGAAACAATTAACGTTTATGACGTCATAGTACCACTGCGCAAAACTTCAATGACGCGCCATGCCAAGGTCTTTAGAATTAAGTATAAATAAATGCGAAAACTAACCCTTAACTCTCAGGCAGATGCAAGACTAACGCTCGAAAAGTGTGTATTAACAATAACCTACATATCTTGAGTAGGGGCAAGACGAACCCTAATCACTCGACTAGTGTGCAAGGACTAACCCTAATTCACTCGGATTGTGCAATGCAAGGACTAACCTTAATCAAGTGGTCTGTGAGGTCTAACCCAATATCTCTGGAAGGTGCAAGCAATAAGCAAAATCAATAATAAAAATTGTATTCGAGGACAAATTCAGAAATGATTGCTTTTGAATGCAGAACAACGGCGTCAAGGATTGAAGTCGGATTATTGTGACGTCATAAACGTCATAAACGTTGATTGTTCATCCGCACCATCGGACTTCGGCGTGTCAGACCATCGCACTTTAGCGTCGCGCGTCTCATAGGAAACGAGCCATCGGACTTTGGAGTGGCCATCGGACTTTGGCGCCCGTAAAGACAATGAGCCATCGGGGTTTGGCGCAGACCATCGGACTTTGGCGTCACCATCGGAGTTTGGAGTCTTACATATATATATATATATATATATATATATATATATATATATATATATATGTATGTATATATATATATATATATATATATATATATATATATATATATATATATAAACTAATTTAAGTGCTTAGAATTGAATGATTGCTATGTAGTATTATATGTTTCCAAAACCATTTGAAATTTTGCCTTTATTTCTTATATATTCTAGAAAGTACGTGTTATAATTGGATCTAAACAAGTTTTAATTATCTCCAACCAGTATCAAAATAATTTATATTTAAGACCTTTAAATTTTTTTCTGTAATTTTTATAAAATCTCGTTTCTCTTTGAATAAAAGAAGTTTCAATTATAGTTTAAAAGAGACTTGCTTATAATTTTGTTTATACTTTGCACCCTTTGCAAGCATAAGAAATGAAATTGAATCAAGCAATATCTATTTAGACTCAGTGAAGTAGCCGGGTCAAAATTAACAACAAACAACCCGGCAATAACCGATCTTAGTGATGAAAACAGACCTATAAAATTGGCAGAAAAATTTGGACAGGTATATGACGATGATTGGACGGATTCACTAGAAGAAATTTTGCATATTGGCTTGGATGAGGTCACATCGATTGCCTTTTTACTCCGTATCACTATGGTATGTATTGAATAACTACCCGATATTGTATTTCTGGCATTTAAGGTATTCAATGTATAACGAAGGTATTCTGAACGACTTTAAATAATTTTAAACTAGTTAAAAACACATTGCTAGATAACGATAAAAGTGATTGAACCAAATTCACAAGACTAATAACATGTAAGGAGACGGTCATTAGGCACATTTAAAGTTTTTAAATAGTTACCTTCCCTTGATGAAAAGAAAAAAACTTTTGATGTCTCACACTGTAGTAAATAATTCATTTCATTTTATAATTTCAGAAAGAGGGAGTTTATGCATATTTTTACCAAGAGATTTGTTTGAAATTCAAATTACTTTTTACAATATTTTATAAAAACATGCACTGCCTGTAGATTTCAATGTAAAATTCAAGGTGATACACATGTATTAATTGGACATTAATCAAAATTTTGTAAATTCCTTGGTGGAGCATTTTTATTTGATAACATCTTCAAAGTGCTTCTATGATTAAAAATATCGGACCATTCATTCATGGTATGATTTTTATATTTTCTTTTTACAGAGTGCATTTCATCTGTGCCAGAAATCTAATTCTTTGTTTATCAATTTACGAGATTGCAAGAATTTATTATGGTGTGATGAAAATACAAAAATGGAGGTAAGCAATTAAATAAAGCAATTGTTGAACAGTTAACTTACATCGCCTGGGCCTCCATTTTATATATACATACATTATATTTGTATGTGATACGAATGAAAAATATACATTTTTTTTTCTTAGTCTCTACAAAAGATCGAATTAGCAGAGGAAGAAAAAATAGCTTTAGAAAATGTCACCCAGCGCCTAAAACATTCTAGAGAGACTGCTTTCATCGCGGCATCAAAGGAGGTATTGGTCAATTGTTTGGTTTTAATGATGAAATAAGATGAAATCATATACAAAATTGTTCAAATTAACAGCTGTTTCTTACGAATTTCAGAAATTCTTAGGTGTTGTGAAAGGGATGTTATTCAACATTTCAAAGAAAAGAAATTGTGGTCAGGCATCCAAGAAAGAATTTGAAATGTTTAAACAACAAGATGAGATGGAAGAAGGAAAAAGCAAAGATGAAGACAACAGCGAAGGTGTAGATAGTAAGGATCAGATTCACAGTGATTCTGAACCCATTTCAGCCATTAGAAAAACAAAGGTGTTATCCAAAGATGTCATTCCCTTAAAAATTCGAAAAATGGATGAACATAGGCTTGTGGAATCGGCAAGAGGTGATTTTTCTATGCCTAGCCATCAGAAGTATGTTAAAGAAGGTTTTTTACTGGACAAAGAAGATGTTGAAAAACTGTTTTCGACACCGATGGATTTTGAATTAATATCAGATCAAATGCTGACAGGGTTTTCTAAGACATTACAATTTGCTGAGCATTGTTTGGAGCTATGTTGGCTGATGCAATCTGTCCAACCACCTGTTCACTTGGACGCAGATATTCCAGAAAACAGACGGCTTAAAACAGATATATTTAAGGAATACACTAAGAAAGGAAATAAAATAGAGTATATAGTTTGGCCAGCAATGTATTTGCACAAAAATGGGCCGTTACTTTCAAAAGGAGTAGCGCAACCAAATTGATTATTTTAACATTACGCGACGGCCTCTCTGATACATGTGAATGTAACGATATACGGTGATTTTTACAGATATTATTGTTACAATCACTGATACAAAAGTTTATTTTTAGAAATATAGGTATTTTTTAAAAATATTATCTGCTTGGGTTTTTTTTGTTACATGTATAAGGTACTGTAAAAACACTCAAGTGCGTTCAAAATTTGATAAGGAGTTTGATAAGTTTAATAATGTAAAGATGTGGCACATTTTCAGAATCATATTGAATAAGTACAGAAATTGCGGACAGGTCAAATAGTGAAATACGCTGAAATATGAGTGCCGCTAAGAACTTTTCTTCTATTTTTAGATATTTTAAAATTTGACATTGCATAATATTTTAAAGTTTACTTCTTTAAGGCATTTATTTTTAGCATAAATATTAAGATCGATTTATTCTACACTGTGAAAAAGAGAGGTTTACAAAGAAGCAGATACCGGTATTTAGTTAGACTGTTTTGATTTAAAATAATTTATGAAACTGATTAAGTATCTTTAGAAACCGTTTTGTATTTATGTTTATTTCTTTTTATGCATTTTTTTTCACAACAAAAATTAACTACATTTAGACAGCAAGAAAATCCTTTTTATCTTTCTCCCTATTCTTTATTTCATTTTCATTGTTACCTACCAGAAGTTAATTTCTCCTGACAGCACAAAGGATTTAATTAAATATCTTTAAAAGACGCTAAAAAAATGTATATTGTTGATCACGGCATAGTATTCTTCTTATGTGTAGCATTCTGGAAAATGTATGATGTTTGATAGAAGAATAATGTTTTAAATTTATCACGTTTCTGTACTAAGGTGTACTTCATCAGTATTAATGTGGGCATTCTTTAGATCTTATGTGAAGAAAATTTTAGTATATACGAGGGTTGTCCCAAAAAGTCGTAGACAGGGAACATATAGTTTATTTTCTCTTTGTCAAATCAAATTTCTTTTCTTGTCATAGCAAAAAGTAACATTTTATGATCACGCATTTCAAGTTTCATGACGATTCTACAATTAATAAGAAAACTATGAAAAAATAAAGAAACCATGTAAGTGTACATCGACGCACGAAAGCAAGCGTAACTTACGTCTCTTATGACGTCATGATTTCTTTTTCTGCTTCTCATACGGATATTAACATCCAAATGAATATTTTTTTATAGTGAAAAAAAACACTCTTGACTAGGGGACTTATTTAAATTCACTACCGTCCGTTTTCTTAAGAAAATTCAAATTTTAGTCAAAATTTAGATGATAGATCACCTTACTTTTTAGGCAGCAGAGAATACACCTTGTTTGACGACGTCTATAGCCCAGAACGTTCCCAAATATATGCGTTTAACAAACATTACTCTACTTAAATGCAATGACTATTTTTTCGATATAGAGGAAAAACTATCTTTGAATTTCGTGCTATTTATATAAAAACAACTTCTCTATTAAAATTTAGTGTGTAATGTCCTTTCTGTACTCTTTTCCCGTCTCTGATGAGTATAAAACATACCACAAACAATTTATTACATTTCAGTGCGCCGGGTACGCGTTCGACAACGTCATTTTCATCAATCTCAATTCCAACAAGACTTTGAAAATCATGCCATTAATCGGGTGTTTCTAATTCAATTTATATGAAATTTTGACATATTATTTAGATTTTGGTTCTGGTTTCAGTGATTTAAATTTTAGTTCAATCTTTTACATATTACCAAAGAAATAAAAGCAAATGTAATAGTTATAAGCGTAAATTATTCCGAATTTTGGTCTTGCGCCGACAGACCATATCGGCCCTCTTATAAATCGTCCCAATACAATTAATATGAAAGATATATTTTTTAAGAATCCACAATTTTAAAGAACATTAAATGTATTATGTCTATGCAAAATATGGTTAGGATTGGTTGCGCGTTAAAAAAGTTATTAACATTATTTACGACGTTTTGGGACAACCCTCGTATATATATATATATATATATATATATATATATATATATATATATATATATATATATATATATATATATAGGAAACAGTATTTAAGGTCGGAAGTCCATGAATAAAACAAATTTTTAACAGAGGAAGCAAAGAAAAGACATACTAACATTATGTGTCAAAATGGAGTAAGCATCCCTTTTCGACTAGGAATGTTTTTTTATTGTTTAACCTCATAAAAATCATATTTATAAGTTTATTTATATTACTTTAACTATAAAAGGTTGATTAATTATCCATGTTTGGTACATGTACTTTAGCATCGACAATTTAACATGTTATTTGTGATTATATCCATGAAATAAAACTATAAAAAAAAATGAACAATTGTGTTTCAAGAAAGCGCATCATGAAGGTGTATCCAACTTGTCTTTTCACATTTCAACTTGAAGTATTTAAAGATAAGTTTAAGATGTTTTTGTTCAAAATGATGAAACGCAAAGAATCATTTTGCAAGGAGGATTAAATTAGGAATGATAAAATATATAAGCACTTATTAATACCTAGAAATTCAGAATAAATGGTGTATTTTCAAAGCTTCAGAAAAATCAATTTACTGTTGAGAGTATGTAAGGTATCACACCGGTAATTGACTAATCAAAATGAACTTAGTCAAATGTAGGTCCATACATATAAAATTGATTTTCTTTTCTTTTAAGACGTTTTTCAATTTTCTTCCAAGCCATGTTTACAACTTTGGTACCTGTGCCTAGTAAATTTTATGTACTTTGTGAATAAATAAAGGTTTTTCACAGGAACTATTTTTTCAGGGCATAGGAGGCTACTTCCTGTGATGCACTCGAGGTGTTTATAAACACAGTGAAAACACGTGGATTTGAGGGTAGCCCTGTTTGCAGATGGAAAAAGTCCGAAAATGCCGTGTGGGTACCCTGTTTTTTGGTGTCATCTAATGTGACAGGTAATGTTTAACACTTCCTGCTAAATATTTTTTCATGTAAACAAATACCTGGTTTTTAACGATTTGTTATTCTATATAGAATTATATAGTGAAAACAATTACTGGTGTGATACCTTTAAGTGTTTTTCTATTATTCGCACAGTTTGAAAGATATAGCAAAGGAACCGTCACGGTACGTAGTACAATTGGTGGTGGTTAGGTGCGATTCCCGTCAGCGACTAACTTAAGGGTCCTCCACACACCAATAGCTTATGCTCTCATATTATTGAGCATTACTTTTAACAACCATATCAACCTTTAAAATCTGTCCAGGGATGAAAATGTAATTTATACTGATTTTTTAAAATAATTGTTTCACAAGTTTCAAGAATTTTTTCCCAAGGCGTTTTCATACCTAGCACAACAAATTTTGTCTCATCCTTTCGTATGTTTTTAAGCTCACAGGATAACCATTAAAACTTAATTTTGTCGATCAAAATATTTTTACAGAAATTTATTTTATTCATAAAAAGTACATAAAAGTCATTTTCTCTGAAATACATCTCGAGAAAAATCAATAAGGACTCCTTTTGTGGAGAAGATACATTAATGAATAAGATTACATAAAAAATTGAATTAAAATTAAATGCACTGGTGTAGAAAAAACATTTTCAAAATCTTTGGTATCAAAGTCCCTTCAGGGACCCATATTAAATGTTAGTATATAGGTCCCTGGTTCCTTTTTGGAGTTATCTGTTGCCCGGGACTCAAAAACGTACGCCATTATCTCCACATAAGTCACCATACTATGTATATATAGTAATTACTGGCCCCTTGAACTGGACAAATATAAAAGAGGAAATCTAGGAGCGCACACTATTTTATCAATATTTATAAACACACAATGAGATGTTAATGTATTATTGAAATGCACAAATATTAGTGTACCGATATTTCAAATATCAAAACAGACTCGGTTGATTAGCTTGAAAGTATAAATAACCTGAACGTTTCTCGTCATACTATGTCCCTGGTCATACCCACCGATACCTGTTGTTTACGAATTATTATGTAACATAATCCAGGACGTCTGTTTTTCTTTTATCAAAAAAAAATCCCTGCACATCCATTTCCATCGGTCACACCGTGATCATGCAATGTGTTCATTGTTTACAAACGGTGTTAGGCCAAATCGTTCATGCACAACCTAGATAAAACCGGAAGTAAAAGTATTTTTTCTCTATATACGTCACAAGTCACATGGTGTGGAGGACCCTTAAGTCCATAAAGGTAGCACCTGTCCGTTAGACATTTAAAAGTGAAAGTTGCGGGTCTTTCAGATGAAACATGAAAAACCGAGGACCTTGTTTGGAAAGGCGTTGTTATGATTAAATCCCTTTCTGCTTTACAAACCTAAATATATAAAGTTCTAAATTGGAAGCTTTTCATAGGTATATAATGACGTTTCTATATGAGTGAAAAATTCTCAAAGGGGACGTAAAAATCGTATGTTTAATCAAGTCCAAGACATCAAAAAGTTGATATACAGAAAAGATGAAGTCCTTTATCTTAGGCCATCTTTGTTTTGTTGTTTTCTTCCAACCTACTGATTAAGAATGATTCGACTCAAAACATTTTTGTTTTACATTTAAGGACACAATATTATGATTTCGTCTTATTCGTCATCTCGTCAACAAATATGTTGAAATTTTCAGGAAAAAAGATTTTCCCGCCTACCTATCGGCCCAAAAATTTTAACGGGAGAAGAAAAGCGAACATTATTTAAAACGATGGCCTTGTGTCAGCACCCTCTTTTTCTTTAACATTGCTTGAGAAGTCATATTTTAAATGTTGTGTTTTCCCCTTCAATGGAAAAAAGTATGAATTTATTTGTATTTACCATTCGTATTATTCATTTTAATAATTTTTTTATTGTTATAAGAAAATGAAAACAAGGTGGTTTTAAAAATCACATTACGATTAACTATTTATGAATGCTTGTTTGGAAATACCCTAGCTTCAACAGTTTTGTATTCAGTTAAATCTCTTAGTAAATCTCTGAGTTGATGAAAGATATTAATAGCTTAATCTTTTTTATTCAGTGTTATTT